AAAAATTTCCTTGCTTTGTTAAACATCATTTGGGAAATATTCAAAAAAAAAAAAAAAACTAAATCAAAGGGGGGTGAACAATTCTGACTTCAACTGTATATGTGCGCACATGAATATATATTTCAGGATGACATACAGTACATGTGTATAATGAAATGGGTATAACAAGTAAACATGGCTTTAGAGGACATGTTTCTGTGTATTCATGAACCAAAAGGCTTAAAAAAATTATATAAATCATATATATATATATATATATATATATATATATATATATATATATATATATATGTGCGTGTGTGTGTGAGAGAGAGTATATAAGGATATAAAATGATGTATTGTTGATATTTTATTTAATTATTATATATAAATATAATCTTTTTCCTTTTTATTTTTTTGCTACTACTACTATTTACTGTGTGTACTGTTTTTTTTTATTATTATATATGTATGTTACTTTTTATGTAAACTTTATAATTGCTTTGGCAATACATTTGTAACAATTGTCATGCCAATAAAGCAATTATTGAATTGAATTGAGAGAGAGAGAGAGAGAGAGAGAGAGAGAGAGTGTGTGTGTGTGTGTGTGTGTGTGTGAGAAGAGTGCTGGACGAGTGGGCGCCTCATTCATTGAGAGCCTCGGGTGCTGGAATGTATTGTGGATTCATCCGTCAGTTTTGGCGGGAGACGAGGACTGGTGTGGGAAAGGAATTTGGGGTTAACTAAACCACACAGAACAAGAGGTGCACTTGTTCACGGTTCACTCGCTGCAATCAAGACTGATATTTTGCTTTTCTCAGATCAGACCAGCTCTTTTTAACCCTTAAATATGCTGCCAGTATATCTGACGCAGGTTAAGCAGTGTTTATGACAAATATCCAGGATATTTTGAAATAGTTTTTAGGGTCATGAATATAAAAATGTTGAAGTGGGCAGATTTTTGTTCAGGTTGTAAAGCTAATTCAGAGTATATATAATTAAAAGCAGGTGCACAGATCCGAAATTATTGTTTTTTTAATAATATAAATGTTTATTTATATAGACAATACATGTGTTTGTGTGTGTGACCCTGGACAACAAAACCAGTCATAAGGGTAATGTTTTGGAAATACGTTATATTGAAAATCTGCATAAATAAGATTTCCACTGATATGGGATTTGCAATATTATGTTATACAATCATTTATTCATAAATTTTTCTTCAGATTAGTCCCTTTATTCATCAGGGGTCGCCACCAGGGAATGAACCACCAACTTATCCAGAATATGTTGCACACAGCGGATGCCCTTCCAACTGCAACTCAGTAGTGGGAAACATCCATGCACACTCATACACTATTGCCAATTTAGTTTATCCAATTCCTCAGCCAGTGACCTTCTTGCTGTGAGAAAAAATAAAAAAAAAGCAGCAAAAAACTTTTGAGAGAACTTTTGTGGTTCAAAGTCACACACACAGTTGAGGTCAGAATTATTAGCCCTCCTGAATGATTTTTCCCTAATTTCTGTTTAACAGAGAGCAGATTTTTTTTCAACACATTTCTAGACAGTAGTTTTAATAACATCTCTGATAACCAATTTATTTTATCTTTGTCATGATGACAGTAAATAATATTTGACTAGATATTTTTCAAGACACTTCTATGCAGCTTAAAGAGACATTTAAAGGCTTCACTAGGTTCATTAGGTTAACTAGGCAGGTTAGGGTGATTAGTAGGCCCACACTGAATCTGCGCGCGCAGAATTCCGCAGATTTCTAGCCCATCATTAATTCTGTTTATTTACATGAGTAAATGTGTGTAAATCTAAATTTATTCAGTTTTTAAATTAATTACAGCAATATTATTGACTAATATGAAAATGTTAATCAGATTTACGCACAATGCAGTTTGTAAAGTAATATTTTCTGTCTTTTAGTAGATATATTATATGAGAGACTTGCTTTGTTTATTAAATAAAGTGAATCTAATCTGATTTGCATTTAAAACATTAAATAAAAGTTAAAAAGGTATTATTTTTTTATTTCACATATTAAGGTTTTAGTTATGATACTCCCAAAATCATTCCGCAGAAATCCACAGATTTTCACCAAAATATTCCGCAGAAATAGCAAAAAACATCCGCAGTCTCCGTCTGGCCCTAAAGTTATTGTATAACGATGGTTTGTTCTGTAGACTATCGAAAAATATATAGCTTAAAGGGGCTAATAATATTGACCTTAAAAATGTTTTTTAAAAAATTTAAAATTGCTTTTATTCTAGCCGAAATAAAACAAAGAAGACTTTCTCCAGAAGAAAAAATATTATCAGACATACTGTGAACATTTCCTTGCTCTGTAAAACCATCATTTGGGAAATATTTAAAAAAGAAAAAAAAAAAATCAAAGGGGGGCTAAAAATTCTGACTTCAACTGTATATTATTTTAAAGTATGCTTGTTTTTAATAAACTGCACTGAATCCAATTAAATCCATAAAAATCACACCCATAACTCGTAGATCAATATAAATCTTAATAAGATCCAGCTGACGGTAAATGAATGTCATCTGCATGCAGTTTGCCACCAGATTGCACGTCTACTAATTGCTTTAAAACAACATTATAGTCACCCGAAGTAGTTTACAACTGCACCAAGTGAACTGAGGCTGAACCTGGCCTGAGAAAAGCAGGACAAAACGTCTGTCAGCGGTGATTTTCCCGCGCGCAGAGCCAGCTGCACATCTGAGCTCTTCAAAACTAATCCTGGAGGCCGTGTTTTCCCAACTTTCCCAGCGCAGCTCTTCAATGGGGCCCAGCAGAAGTGTGCCGCTCTCTGAATGAGGCCCGTCGCCCCCCTGAGGAGACCCTGAGCAATCATTAACATCCATCCACACTCAATATCACGGCTTCAGCTGCAGGATAAGTGGACTGCAGGACACATGCACGCGTCAGGAAAGAAATCCATCTGCAGTCACTACAAATGGCAGAAAATTTCTTTAATGACATAAAAAAATGACGTTAAAATACATTTGGACACTCTTCATGTGAACATTATTTAGTTTTAAATCTGAAGAATACCCTTTTAATATGGAAAAGGACATTCAAATATAAAAACAAAACTAAATGTATAGAAAAAAATCTGAAAATTGTGTAATTGTTGTCTGGATTGCCTTGTTATAGAGATGTTTTTGAGCAAAGTGTCATTTTTGCTTCATTCTGTAAACTATACTGATGGTGACATTTCTTCCTGATTTTTTGCTGTCATTTAATTTTTTTCTGCATAAATTAACAAGAAATTTTCATGGTTTAAGTCATGTTTATATGCATTTTTAGAGTTAGGAAATCATTATTTGATTGAATGACCCTGATTTTCAACCCTAACAAATGAAGAAATTCAGACTGATTGCCATTTTACTGAATTCACACGTTCACATTTCAAGATATAAAAATGTATTATATACTACACTTTTATTTTTCTACTGTTGTAGAAGTGTAAAATAACAAATATTTATCTATATAATATAAACAAATATATATTCTTCTTAAAACTATAATGTTTGCAATTAATTTTATTTTGTTTGTTTTTATGTAAATGTGTGTGTTTATGTACGTGCATGGGTACACACAAACATCATACTTATACATACATACATACATACATACATACATACATACATAAATACACACATAAATAAATAAACACACACATTGAAAATAATTATACACACACACACACACACACACACACACACACACACACACACATACATACATAGGGTAGCATGGTAGCGCAGTGGCTAGCACAATCGCCTCACAGCAAGAAGGTCACTGGTTCGAGCCCTGGCTGGGTCAGATGGCATTTCTGTGTGGAGTTTGCATGTTCTCCCCGTGTTGGTATGGGTTTCCCCACAAGTTAAAAAAAATATTATATATATATATATATATATATATATATATATATATATATATTTTTTTTTTTATATTTATATATATATATATATTTTTTTTAATATATATATATATATATATATATATATATATATATATATATATATATATATATATATATATATATATATATATATACATACATACATATATGCACACACACACACACACACATATATATACATATATACATACACATACATATGTGCACCTTTTTGTGCTTATGTAAATGTGTCAACTTGGATATTAATTATATGACTTAAGAGGCTATAAATGTTTACAATATCCTGTTCAACAAGGCTGCATTTATTTAAACAAAAATACAATACAAATTGTAAAATTGTGAAATGTTGCACTATAAAATAACTGTTCAAAAGTAGTTTATCATTTAATTTAATCATTTATTCCAGTGTTTCAAAAATCAATTTTCAGCTTCATTACTTCAGTCTAATGAGAGTAATTGACATCACTCTAATTTCAATTACTATTAATAATGGTAATAGTATTAAAAGCAATAATGACTGAAAGCATTATTATGAAACTACATACAAAAAGAGAGCAGTTTTTAAAAATTTTAATAAACACTTGACAACATATTTACATTTAATTAATGCCACATTGATTAATATATATATATATGTATATATATATATATATATATATATATATATATATATATATATATATATATATATATATAGTTGTTTTATGTGTGTGTGTGTTGATTAAGAACTAAACATCTAGTCATTCATTGTTTGCTTTCAAACTATTGTTGAGACTCGTTTCTGAAGATTTTGCGCGGGAAGCGTTTGAAAGTTCTCCTAATCTCTATTCACCGCATTGATCATGTATTTTCCCGCCGGAACAGCCGCGCACGCTGTCAAAGGCTCGTGCACTCCGGCAATTTCACGCTTCCCCATTTACAACACACAAACACACTTTCTCACACACTCTTTCTCACACACACACTCCAGCTGTTTGAGCGCGCACCTCCATTGTTTCCCAGCAATGCAGGATCAGGCTAATTTAAACTTTTCCCATTGAACCTTCAGCCGCGCTCTGATTGGCGCAAAAGTGTGGGAAAGGAGAGCATCTCTGTCAGTCAGGGCGTATATAAGTCACCGGAGAAAAACAGCAGCAGAAACACACACGCGAGCTCTGACAGCACATAAACACAGCAGCAATGGCACCAACTGTCTGCAAAGCCACTCACACGGGAAAAGAAAGAACTAAAGTAAGTGTTTACCTTTTTTTCTAAAATAACTAACTTTTATTTAAAGTAATGTTTTAAATTGAGGTAAAGTTGGTTTTATGATAAAATAATTTCAGAAAATAACTCTTTGCAAACTTGAAATAGGGAAATCATAGTAGCAGTCAATGACTATTTTAAGTACAGCATCGTTCACAGTCAATTAAATAGTGCTAATGTTGTTTTGAAGTCATGCTAACATGCTATTTTATATCTAATATTCAAAGTAGCATCATATAACAGTATAGAGACCGTTTAGTTGTCACTTTAAAAATTGAAGAAATAAGTGAATATAAAAACTTTACTTCAAAATGCTTATTTATTTATAACTCCTTATTAAAATAATTTCAGAATAAAACTCTGTGCAAACTTTAAATAAGGAAATCATATTAGCAGCCAATAACTATGAAAGTAAAATATTGTTCAATCAATTAAATAGGGCTAATTTTGTTTTGAAGTCAAGCTAACATGCTATTTCAGACCTAATGTTCAAAGTAGCCTCGTAAACATTTTAGAAACCCTGCCACAAGTTGTCATTTTAAAATAATGAAGGAGAGTGTGAATATAAAACCAGCTTTACCTCAATATGTTAATATGTCAATATATATATATTCGCAAATTCAGACCTTTTTAACAAAAATAGTTTCAGAAAATAACTTTTTGCAAACTTTAAATAGGGAAATCAAATTAGCAGCCAATGACTATTAACCTACATTGTTTACAGAAAATTAAATAGTGCCAATGTTGTTTTGAAGTCATGCTAACATGCCATTTCAGACCCAATATTCAAAATAGCATCATATAACACTATAGAAACGTCACAAGTTGTCACTTAAAAAAATGAAGTAATGTGTGAATATAAAACCAACTTTACCTCAATATGTTTAGATAGATAGATAGATAGATAGATAGATAGATAGATAGATAGATAGATAGATAGATAGATAGATAGATAGATAGATAGATAGATTGATTGATTGATTGATTGATTGATTGATTGATTGATTTTTACTTGCCCTGCCAAATTTTTTTACTGGCTCCACCAAAAAAGAAAAAAAGGAGATGTTAATAGCTATTTTTAGCCACATATTTTAAATAATATGTCAAAAATAATGTCTGTGAATCTAGAACTTTAATACTTAAAAAAGTTAATAAATGTATAATGAGCAAAATTCAAAGTGTTTTGCAAACAAAAAGAGCAGTATGGAAAATGTGGAGGTTTTTTATTGCAGTTCAAAATTATTTAAAAAAAATAAAAGGTGGCTGACTTGTCAAACTGACGGCAAATTGTGCAAAACATTACTTATTTTTTTTGTCATGTTGTTTCCACGTAAATGTTTGCTTCCAAGATGTTAGAAACAGACATTTTTTTTTTTAGCCTTATAATTTGATGTTGCCGCCATGTTGCCGTTTCTTCGATGTACTGATTGTCACCAGGTTATGTGAACAAAAAAGCGTGCTCAAAACATCAAATCACATAAGAGGAACTGAAAAGCAACATGGCGTTTACGACATCACAGAGAAGATAGCATTTAAAGACCTAAAAGCACAAACTTAAAATGCAAGCAATTGACAAATATTCGCAGGCAAATTAAACTGTAGTGACAAGGCAGCACTGTCCCAATCGGGCCAGTAATGATCCTTTCTACTGTCCCAAGCGCCTCGCACACCCAGACCTTCTCTTAAATAAAAATAATTTCAGGAAATAGCTCTTTGCAAACTTTAAATAGGGAAATAATTCATACCATTTTATGGGATGTGAACAAAAACAATGGTCCTAGTATTTTCCTGTTTTACATTTTTTAATTTCTATAGCTTCTGATAATCCAAAAAGAGCCACATATTGATAATGTTATGATAGCTGTTTAAACAGTAAGTTATAATTGAATTGCCTCTTATAGTCATGAAGTAGTTAGATAACAAGCAGAAAATGTTCATGGGCCAATGACATGACCACATTGAAATGGTCTAATAGCAGCCAATGACTATCAAACCAACATTGTTGTCAATTAAATAATGCTAATGTTGTCAAAGTCATGCTAACATGCCATTTCAGATTCAAAGTAGCATGGTAAACATTATAGAAACCGTGTCACATGTTGTCACTTAAAAAAAAATTAAGGAATAAGTGAATATAAAAACAACTTAACCTCAATATGTTTATATATTTTCGCAAATTCAGACCTTCTCCTTAATACAATAATTCAGAAAATAACTTTTTGCAAACTTTAAATAGGTAAATCATATAAGCAGCCAATAACTATCAAAGTAAAATATTGTTCACAGTCAATTAAATAGCGCTAATGTTGTTTTGAAGTTTAAAGTTTAACAAGTTTAAAGTTGTCACTTAAAAAAAATTAAGTAATGTGTGAATATAAAAACCAACTTTACCTCAATATATATATATATATATATATATATATATATAATCATTTATACCATTTTGAGGGATGTAAACAAAAACAATGGTCCCCCTCCCAACGTATTTTTCGGTTTTACATTTTTAATTTCTATAGCTTCTGATAATCCGAAAAGAGCCACATATTGATAAATAATGTTATGATAGCTGTTTAAACAGTAAGTTATGATTAAATTGCCTCTTATAGTCATGAAGTAGTTAGATAACAAGCAGGAAATGTTCATGGGCCAATGACATGACCACATTGAAATGGTCTATTAGTTTACAGTCAATTAAACAATGCTAATGTTGTTTTAAAGTCATGCTAACATCCCATTTCTGATTCAAAATAGCATGGAAAACATTATTGAAACCGTGTCACATGTTGTCACTTTAAAAAAAATGAAGTAATGTGGTAAAACTTTACCTCAAAATGTTTTGAGTGTTTACTAACCAAACTTTTACCTTCTCTTTCCAGCTGAGGAAACCGGTGGTGGAGAAGATGCGCAGAGATCGCATCAACAAATGCATCGAGCAGCTTAAAATCCTACTTAAAACCGAAATAAAGGCCAGTCAGCCCTGTTCTAAACTAGAAAAAGCTGATATACTAGAGATGGCTGTTATTTACCTGAAGAACACCGCTGATGCGCATGCGCGGAGCTACTCGGAAGCGCATGCGCAGAGCTATGCTGACGGATATTCAAGATGCATTGAGGAAACGGCGCGATTTCTGTCAGCTCACAAACAAACCCAAAAACACTCTAAACCTGTTGACAGCTGTCAGATCACGTCAGAAATCGCCAAGCATGGATTGTGGAGACCCTGGTGACCTTTCTTAATTAAAGCCAAACGTGTTGTTTTTATAAAACGTCGACGTAGACAGCAGCTGTCCTGACGCATAGAATGTACAAGTCTACCCCATGTCTGAGTCTGAGAGCACCTGTATATCTATTGCTTTACTTCACGCGCGTGGAGATGAACTTTTATTTACATATTGTAAAAATGAGGGTTATATGGCACCTCAGTACGTTTCTGCTGAAATCTTCTTTTTAATGAGATGTGTAGCCTGCAGAGGTGTTGAATCTGTCATATTGACGGAATGTTTAAGTATCTCATGTTGAGTTGAAACCAAAACAAAAAATAAAGTCTCACTACTATTTCTGCTTGTTTGTTTGTTTTTTACGTGGTCCTAATGTGGATACTACTACAAGCTCATGTTTTAAGTAGTACACACTGTAAAAAAAACAGTCATGACAATGTATGTAACATTACTTTAACTTAAATTATAAAGTTAATCTGGTTTAAACGTTTTTTTTTTTTAGTAAACTAATTTTACACCCTTTAGAACAAAATTATGTTCCTAAAAAGTTTCTGGAAAATGTAAAAGTATGTTTTCACAGTTCTTGTGGCTCCTATAAATGAGACCAATAATAATATTTAACACCCTTTAAGAATATTCAGTCAAAGTCAGAATTATTAGCCCCCCTAAATTATTCGCCCCGTTTATTTTTTCCCCCAATTTGTATTTTACAGAGAGAAGTTTTTTTTTTTTCAGCACATTTCTAAACATAATAGTTTAATAACTCATTTCTGATAAATAATTTATTTTATCTTTGCCATGGTGACAGTAAATAATATCTGACTAGAAATTTTGGAAAGAAATTAGGGGGAAAAATAAACAGGGGGCTTATAATTCCTAATTTATAATTCAGACTTCAACTATATTTTTGAACGTGCTCACAATGTGAACTATTTTTAAATACACACTGTAAAAAATACATACAATAAAAAGTCATGACAACGTACATTTTTACATTACTTAATTTATAAAGTTTATCAGGTTTCATCATATTTTATTAAGTTAAACAAATTTTAACTTGATGTTAAAGTGTCAGCCTGTGATAAGTCAGCTTAACTGACATAATTTACAGGTTTCTGCAGGGTCCAAAACAGTCTTCAAATGTTTTAAATCTCAAAATCAAAATTTTAGGCCTTAAAAATTCTAAAATTTACTCAAATATTGTGTTGCAAGTCTTATATCTTTTTTAAACAGGTCTTAATTTTTCTTTTTTCTTGTATTGCAGAGGTGTCAAACTCAATTCCTGGAGGGCCGAAGCCCTGCACAGTTTAGTTCCAACCCTGCTCCAACACACTTACCTGTAGGTTTCAAACAAGCCTGAAGGACTCAATTAGTTTGATCAGGTGTGTTTAATTAGGGTTGGAACTAAACTGTGCAGAGCTGTGGCCCTTTTGGAACCGAGTTTGACACCTGTGTTGTATTGCTACCCAATCTGTCCAAACCCCATACAATCACCAACAATCCATCTAAATAAAACTTTCAATTTTTACTTAAAAAGCTAATTTTTAACTTTATTTATCATAATGGTTTAATTAATTTCTTTATTACATTTGAAAGTGCTCCATGTGTTTAGTGCTGGACAGATTGTTGTGCATAGTTTCATATAGTTTTTAAAACTTTTTAAACATTAGTTCATTAATTTATTTTAAAGGATTTTATTTTACACGATATTTTAAATATTTTGCTGAGAAATATAAAAAATATTGTACTTTTTTATAATTAATTTATTATTGTATTATAAAATGTATTAAATTATAATAATTTTGTTTTTTAAACATTAAATACAAATCTTTTCCATCTGGGTCATTTGAAAAAATGCTTAGCCTTTAGCCCTTTATGAGTCTAAAATTTCATTCATAATGGTCTTAAAATGCTTTAAAAACTCTTAAATTTAACTTTGTGAAACCTGCAGAAACCCTGAATTCAATATGTGAATTTAAATTGGAATAGTTTAAAAATTAAAGTGAGCAACATGTTTTTTTGTTTTGTTTTGTTTTGTTTTTACAGAAGACCTTGTAAATGTGTATCATGTTGAGTTAAAACCAAAAACAAATTCACACAACTATTTTTGTTTATTTTATTTTTTTGAAGTAGTCATAATTTTGATACTACAGCCTCATGTTTTAAATATACACAGTAAAAATACAACATAAAGTCCTGACAGTCTATGTTTGTACATTAACTTAGTTTATAAAGTTAATCAGGTTTCAAGTATTTTTTAAGTTAAACAAATTCTAACTTGATGGTAAAGTCAGCTTGATTGATGCAAGTTAATATGACTTGTAAATTTAAATGGGTTCAACTTAAAAATTTAAGTGAGCAACATAGGTTTTTTTTTTTTTTACAGAAGACCTTATAAATGTTTAAGTATCACTGGATTGCTCACTGGATATTTCCTCTTTTTCAAACCATTCTCTGTGAACCATAGTGATGGTTGTGCGTAAACATCCTGGTAGATCAGCAATTTCTGAAATACTCAGATCAGCCCGTCTGGCACCAACAACCATGCCACGTTTAAAGTCACTTAAACCCCTTTTCTTCCCCATTCTGATGCTCGGTTTGAACTGTAGCAGATCGTCTTGAACCTGTCTACATGCGTAAATGCATTAAGTTGCTGCCATGGGATTGGCTGATTAGAAATTTGCATTAATAAGCCTTTATTAGGACAGGTGTACCTAATAAAGTGGCCAGTGAGAGCAGTTGATAATCTTTTTACTAAAAGGTGCCATCACTGTCCCTTTTTGGTTCTTCATGACACCTTTTTTTCCAGTAATAAATAAATACACAATTTATATAGATTAAAATATATATTTTTAGGATATTTTATTTTCACTTACACCAACGAGTTATTTATATGATCAAATGTAAATAATAATTAATAAATCATACTAAAGCAATTGAATTCCCACAAATGCATTGAGCCTGATGTTTACACTAATTGAAGACGCACACTTTAAAGCAGAGCGGTGTGTATGAGAGAGCAGAGATCTGCTGTTCTCAGGCTCTGCGGGTTTTATTGTGTGTTAAGGAGTGTGTCCTCACGGTCATTTCCCCATAAAGCGTCTGTCTGGAGTGTGCCACACGCTTTGATGCACAGACGTGTCAGTGTGGGAACCAGAGCTGATCCAGCAACACTAGTAAAACTGTGTTTGCTCAAATGACAGCAGATTCGGCAGCAGAGAAGAGCTGAAACAAGAAAACTTCATGTTCTCAAGTGTTTTTCTGGGGTCATCAAACACTGAGGTGTGAAAAAGGATCATGACAAAAATAAAATTACAAAAAAAAGTTCATATAAAATAAATATGGCAGCACAGTGGCTCAGTGGTTAGCACTGTCGCCGCAAGCAAGAAGGTTGCTGGTTTGAGTCCTGGCTGGGTCAGTTGGCATTTCTGTGTGGAGTTTGCATGTTCTCCCCGTGTCACTTTCCTTCGGCTAAGTCCCTTATTTATCAGGGGTTGCCACATCGGAATGAACAGCCAACTATTCCAGCAATGTTTTACAAAGTGGATGCCCTTCCAGCCGCAACCCAGTACTAGGAAACACCCACCCACATTCATTCACACACATACACTACGGCCAACTCCGTTCATCAATTCCCCTATAGCGCATGTGTTTGGAAACCAGAGCACCCGGAGGAAACCCACGCTAACACGGGGAGAACATGCAAATTCCACACGGAAATGCCACCTGGCCCAGCTGGGACTCAAACCAGCGACCTTTGGGGCAACAGTGCTAACCACTGAGCCACCGTGTCGCCCTTAGAAGTTATTAATAATATGCAAAGTGACAAATGAATCCATCATCTACAGCACGTGTTTATTGAGGCACAGACAGATTATTAGCTTGTACTAATTAATATTTTCTTAATACTTTGTTAATCTGATTTTCACGAAACAGATATCGGTCTCTAAGCTCCGCCTCCACAATGACATGTAAACGACATTAGAACGCTACAGAATTAATTATCATATTTCTTATCATTTAAACCTTTAAACAAACGATTACAGCAGTAAAAATTGTGCTGAGCAAAGATTAGTCACGATCAATCACATACAAAATAAAAGTCTGTTTCGACATAATATATGTGGGTGGGTTTTTATACATATATATATATATGTATGTATATATATATATATATATATACATACACACACACACACACACATATATATATATACATATATGTGTATATATATGTACATATATGTATGTATATATGTATTATACATACATACATACATATATATATATATATATATATGTGTGTGCGTGTGTGTATATATATGCGTGTGTGTGTGTGTGTATATTTATATATATATAAATACGAGCGATAACACCCGTAGCAGTGCGATATGACGGTATATTGGCACTGGTGGGAGGCGTGCGTTGGCTCGAGGACACAGGCCGAGTGCCTTAGTGCCCCCACCAGTACCGATATACACCCATATCACACTGCTACGAGTGTGATATTGCGTTTATACAACAGTTTGACGGCATAATTGTGTATTTTTGTTAAAAACAAAACCAAAAAAAATCTCAAAAACCCTTTTGTATGAGGAACTACTTTCTTCCACGTTGGATTCAAATCATAAGCTGACAGTTAAACAGCTGAGCAAGCATCTATTAAACTTTAGATCTGTAGTGTCTGCTTTTTGCTGGCTGTATGTGGGCGGAGTAATACACAAAGAGTAAAGAGGCTGTGCAGGTGCTGATATTACTTAAATATATCATGCCTATCAGCCAATCAGATTCGAGAACCAGACAGAACTGTTGTATATATATATTAATACAACAGTTCTGTCTGGTTCTCGAATCTGATTGGCTGATAGCCATGCAATAACAGCACTCATACAGCCTCTTCATCCTTGTGAGTTACTCCGCTCACATAGTGACAGCAGACCAATAAACTCACTACAGTTTGACAAATATTGCAGCTGTTGGAGAACATAATGTACTTTTGAGGCTTTTTAGGCAAGAATGTGGTTAGATTGCAACTATGCAGTTTATTAAAAAGGATAGTGCCTATTTTAAATATTTACATTTTGGAGATTCTGTGCATCGACCGCCATCAGCCTGTCATTGAGCAGAAAGCAAAGACGATTCCGCCACAAGATGGTAACAATGACCGCATAATAGGTCCTTAGGGGAGGAAAACTGTGTATTCTACAGCTGAACTAATCATTACAGAACAGGTAAGTGACTTTAAGTCGATCTCTCTCTTTTGTATGTTGTACTGCTGTATTTATACCACAGTAATTTGCTAATATTTGCTTTGCTTTGGCTGTTTCGGGGTTAATTATTGGGATCTCCCGATTGCAATAGAGAAATACTGGGAAATCTCAGTAGACTGATGGCATTTCATGTCAAGTTTAGCCTTATAATCTTAAAATGTGAGCAAAATCCGCTGTTTTGTCATCACGTTAGACATTATGCTAAAGAATCATTCAAACACTAGCTCTAAAGTGACTTTGTTGAACAGGCAGGGTTTCTGCTGTTCTGACGGTCAGCTGCAGACGTGAATGAACGACGGAAGAAAGTAGTTCCTATTACAAAAGGGTTTTTGAGACTCTCTTGTGTTAGATTTTCTTTCTTATATACACGATTATGCCGTCGAACTGTTGTATAAACACAATATCACGCAAGTAACGGTGCAATATGGCTGTGTATAGTCACAGGTGGGACACTGAGGCACTTGGCCTGCGGCCTTGAGCCAGTGCACACCTCTCACCAGTGCCGATGTACAGCCACATCGCTCTGCTACTTGTGTGATATTGCTCATTTATTATGCACACACACACAGATAAAAACGAAACTATACAAACCCATTTTGATATTTAAATTAATATATAACTTGTATCTAAAATAAGCTTTTTATCAAATGTATGGATGCCTGTGTGTATTTATGCATTATAAATTTACACAGTGCACTTCTTTAAATTCTATAAAAACAAACTTTTATTTTGGAGTTATTATTATTATTATTATTATAATTATTTCATCTTTTGTCCAGCCCTAGTAAAAATGTAACAACTGCGCTTCCTTCCATTCACTCGATAATTATAAAAAGATAGATTTACTCTCTGGATACTAGAGTAAACAGTTGAAACGAGAAAGTGAAAAGAGTTCAGTGCATTCTTTGCTGAATTAATAGCTTGTATTAATAATCCAGTGATGTTTGCAGAGAAATCTTCGGGGATACATTCAGTCTGGTCTGCTTTTTACTGTTGCTCTTCATCATTACCACACTTTGTCTGCGGTTTTGGGACGGTAAGAAGAGTCTTTTAGGAAGGATTTTAGAGAAATGAAGCGGTCTTTTAGCTCATGTAAGGATATTTCCATTCTGTGAGTGGGACGTGTGTCTGCTTGACCACCTGAGGGGACGTCCAGCGCAGGACGTAATGGGGGCCGCCGGGTTTGTCGTTGGTGCCTGAATAGAAAGATGAAATTAATTCTGCAGGCATGGCATAACATTTTTGTAAACACAACACAATAAAATAAAGATAAAGAAGAGATTTGATTTATTTCATGCATGTATATAAATATTGCCTATTTAATTTACAATTTATATATTAAAGTGTATTATTTTAAATGTGTAATTAGTAAGGGTGTCATGATCCTCCAAATCCTCGATTCGATTACATTTTCGATTCTAAAGTCACGGTTTGATTCGATTTTCGATTATGAATAATTAAGTGATTAATAACAAATTAATTATTTGTAGCCTACCGTTTAAACTACCTGACCTGCATGTTCTTTGTTTACCCATAAACAAATCATACAGTAAATGAATAAAGGCAAGATACACACATAATTACCACCTGTCAATCACTTTTTCTGCATGACTCGTGAATAGGCATTGATCTGTGTCATCATAATGGCGTCGGTAAAAAAGGCGCACAACCAACAGGAACCAGCCAACAGTATCTGAGGTGTTCGCTAAAATGACTACGTAAGTGTGAAAGTGAAAGATTGAAGCAGTCTACTGACACGCTGACCGCCTGGACCCGCTGTCTCTGGCGCGCATCTGTGTGTGTGTAGTCACGTGATGTGCGTTTATAGCGGTAGTGAGGAAGGAGGGCTGCTCAGAAATGCAAAGCGTCAGTGTGGATGTTGATCGTTGTCGTTGTAAAATGCCATTTAAAAACTAAGACCCATTAGTGTAAACAGGGCCTGAGTGTGTATTTTTCGCGACCGGATTTGCAACGGGGGCGGAGTGGAGGATCGCGATGCACCCATCATTTATCAGCCCAACCCTAATACGTACATAGCAGAGCTTGCAAACTGTGTTTGTTTTTGTCGACAACACGAACGTTGTCAACATAACTCACTGGAAATGCAAAATACCTCCACACCGGCGACTTCATTGAAAGAGGAGAGGGTTTAAGTTCTGTCGACGGGTCTCCTGCGTCTGCAGTTCAACAAGCACTTAAACAAGCGTGTTTTTTTCCCGCTTGGCAAGCCAAGCTGACGTGACATGGGGGCGTGGCAGCATCGACGATTCTATTCGAAATTGAGCATAAATTTCGATTTAAGATCAAAATCGAAACCCTTAATATTTAGGGTATTTTATTTTAACTCGCATTTAATTTGCATCAGAATTATTAGTCTCTTTTTTTAAATATTTCCCAAATGATGTTTAACAGAGCAACGAAATTTTCACAGTATGTCTAATAATAATTTTTCTTCTGGAGAAAGTCTTATTTGTTTTATTTTTGCAAGGATAAAAGCAGTTTTTAATTTTTTATTAACAATTTTAAGGTCAATATTATTATTATATTAACATTCAATAATATTAACATTGTGTAAACATGGTCAGTTAATCTGTAAAATTGATTGAATATAAAATAACTGTTATTTTTTTATTAGTCAAAGTTTTTTTTGTGTAAAACATTTTAATGATCTAGTCTTATGTAAACGTGTATTACGTAAAGTCTTTTTAAAGAGTGTGTATGTAGATGCTGTTCTTGTGGACTTGACATTCTGCGTCTGTAATAACTGACTCAGGATCAGTTTGTGTCTGCTTGTACCTGACGCTCTGGCGCCACCAAAAGGCTGCTGGGCCACGATTGATCCTGTCGATTTATCATTGATATAATAATTTCCTGCAGCATTTCTTAAAGCTTTTCCGGCCTCCTCTATAACAGATCTGAAACACACGAGCAGATTATAAATGAATGATCACAAACGTCAAAGTCTAGTGCAGAAATATGAGTGTCTGGAGATCCTCCGAAACATTTCTGAATGAAAAAATGTGGATTGTGCTGATCTGGGTTGCTGAATTTTCATCTTCATTATCATAAATGCAGAGACAGTGCTGTGCTCACTTGTCTTGGGAGAAGATGGCTCCTGTTAGGGCGTATGGAGAAGTGTTGTCTATTAAGTGCAGGACTTTCTTGTAGTCGTTTTCAGGGTAAACGTAGACTGTCAGGACGGGTCCGAAGATCTCCTGAATTAACAAAATATATACAGTTCAAGTTAAAATTATTCGCCCTCCTGTGACTTTATTTTCAAGTATTTCCCAAATGATGTTTAACAGAGCACGAATATTTCACAGTATTTCCTATAATATTTTTTCTTCTGGAGAAAGTCTTATTTGTTTTATTTCGGCTAGAATAAAAGCAGTTTTTAATTTTTTTAAAGCCATTTTAAGGTCAATATTATTAGCCCCCTTGTGCACTATTAGTTTTGGATTGTCTCCAGAATAAACCACTTTTATACAATGACTTGCCTAATTAACTTAACTTGCTTAATTAAGCTAATTAAGCCTTTAAATGTTACTTTAAGCTGAATACTACTGTTAAAAAAATCTTCCCGCCATAAAATAAATTCCATAAGAATTAAAATTCAACAGGAGGCAATTTATTCCTAATTTTGACTTGCATTTTTAATGCCAGAAATTTATTTTTACAATAATATACAAATAAATAAAGGTATTTTTTAAATGTAAAAATCCTGTGATTTTTCACTCACATTTCAGTTTATATCTCCAAACAAACACTAAAAAGTCAAAAAGCAAAATAATTAATCAGTTGATGTTTTTTAAGTATTTTTTTAAGTACAGCAGCTTTTCTTAGACATTCAAATGCATACAAATGCTTGAAAGGAAAGACAGAAATAAAAGGAAATTATAAACCAAATTTAGATTTATAATTAGATAAACTAATTCAGAAACACACAGTCTCTGACTGTGAAAATTCCAAAGGGAGGACCAAATGTGCCAGAACACCTCAGATCTTTGATGTAAATCGTAGGTTAATTTTTTCAGTGGTAAAAGTGTGGTCGCCTGACTCATATTAACTACATATTGACAGAAGATATCTGAGCAGTTGACCATTATAATAGCATACTTCTTTGCCAAGCATAAACAAAAATTCAATACACATTCTTTATCATGATCAAGAGACAGTTCCAATGTACAATTCAGAGGATACTGCATACTTTTAGGTACAATAATTTATTTTCAATTATTTTCTTTAAATGTGTGTTGGAGACCATTTTTAAAAATAATAATATTCACAATAATAATATTAATAATAATTAATTTATTAATTAATAATAATAATTTTGTTATTTTATTTTATGGCAGAAAGTGGCAGAAACCAAAAAACTAACTAAAATGTTTAGATGTAAACAATATTTGGGGGCAAATAGCTTGCATATGCTTCATTTTCTTCTTTAAAAAAAAGTATGTATATTTCTGATTAAAAATCCTTTTGAAATAATTATTTCTGTAGATTTATTTTACATTCAAACAACTCAAAATATTCCCTTAAATCCAAAAACATTTGTAAAAGAACTGCTAGAAGTGGATCCTGGTGAATGTTTTCAGTATCCAGATGAGTGACTCAGTGACCAGATCAGCTGAGCAGTGTTAAATGAGGTTAAACGCAAGAGATCAGTTTAACTAAACAAACCAAAGTCCAGCCATTCATTGCCCTGAGCCTCTGTCTGTGTCTGTGTGTGTGTGAGAGAGAGAGAGAAATGAAGCATGAGTGTGTGTAAAGGTTATTATAGTTGTGAATTAATCATTTTTTATTTTATTTTAGTTTAATAAATGTCTTGTGTGTGTTGTTCTGTTGTTTTTCCTTCAGTAAGTGGTTCACTGAACAATTCCTCCCAGAATGCATCCGTTTTCTCACCTCATTCATGATCTTCTCCTGTGGGTCGGTGGTCTCGATTATTGTGGGCTCCACGAAATAGCCCTTCTTATCGTCGCAGTTTCCTCCAGCGATGATCTTCAGATGTGGAGAAGATCTGGCGTGTTCAAGCCAGCCTTTAATCCTGGAGAAAGACTTGAGGGAAAATGACATTAGTTAAAGTTCTTTAGAAGAAGAATATATGGTAATTCGTTTACTCTCTCTGTTACTGGATCAGCAGGTTTGTACCTTGTCATCAATCACCGCTGAGAAGAAAGTGCTGAAATCTTCCACTGGCTGAAAAAAATGAAAAGTCAGTCATTTAGTCTTCAGTGTTTGGACTCTCAGTAGTGATTATCAAACCACACTGAACTGAGCTAAAGTGAACTGAACTTAAACACTGAACTACACTGTTTCAATTTACTATGATCTTTTCTGTACAGCTGCTTTGACACAATCTACATTGTTAAAGCGCTGTACAAATAAAGCTGAATTGAATTGAACTGTCTTGGTGTGAAAGGGCCTTTACACTAATCTTTATGTTGACTCTATTTCCAGTAGATCTTCTCCTTTACTTACGTCTCCAACTTTGATCTGTTTGTGGACGTCCAGGAGGCCCTGTCTGATCTGAGGCCAGAGAGAGTCTGGGACGTACATACGAGAGCAGGCAGAACATTTCTGTCCTCCGTACTCAAACGCAGAGCGGATGGTGCCGGTCACCACACTGCGGACGTCTGCAGACTTGTGCACAAAGTGGAAGTTCTTCCCACCACACTCTGAAACACACACACACACACACACACACACACACACACACACACACACACACAGGAAACAGCCAATCAAAGATTAGTTTCTGAAAAATCAGGTTTTTAAAGGGCACCTAGGTTACCCCTTTTTTCAGATTTAATATAAGTCTTTTGTGTCTCTAGAATGTGTCTGTAAAGTTTCAGCTCAAAACACCCATCAGATTTTTTATTATCCCTTTCACAAGATCCTGTTTTATACATATTTCCACCAGAGGGTGGTTTTGTCATACTGGGCCTTTAAAGGGCCATGAAACCCCCTCGTTTCAGCAGGGTGTTTTCACACCTCTACTTTGGAAAAAGTCAGAAAAGTGGGCGTGTCCAGCTCTGTTTAGGGGGGAGTGTCGGAGGAAGAAAAGAGGCTTGGTGTGGGAGTGTCTATTTGGGCGCGCTGAATTTCAGAGTCAAAACACACAACCACACCGGACAATGTGACTGTGTTTACATGGACAACTGTTGTCGAATTATTTGCCAAATTATTAAATGGTGGACTTTAATTGCAGTTTGGCTCTTTCATTCAGGGAATTCATTCATGTCCCTCCCGACAAACGAGATATTTGATTCGAGGAGCTGCTGTAAGTGTGTATTTTTCATGCAATGTTTGATACCGCACGGCGAATGAGAGAAAAAAAAACCCTCCGCATTTCCCGGAAACTTAGATGCAGACGGCAGGTAGTGTCAGAAAGCCGCGTGTGTTATTCCGGTCACAAAATCCAACACGAGGTTATAGTTTGGTTGTAACTGTTAGTGCTAACTTGTTTACACTGGTGCAATAGTTTGTTTGATACGAATAAAATACGAACTGAATAAACAAAGAGCACTGGTCGCTCACTTACCAAATCTGTAGAGACAGGACAATCACCAGCAAGAGCCGCGTCTTTATTAAGAGGAGACTACAAGCGAATCCGGATCTCAGCGTTTGGAGATGAGAACAGCTCTCAGGTAAACAATAATCCTCCTTAGACACGTAAGTTATTGTTGTCGCGCGTCGCGTACACTGTTAATCCACACGTGACTCTGAGCTCTCACAGAGAGAAAATGAAAACAAAACTTAACGGCAGCAAACTATAAAAGCAACACTTCACGCTTGTTTTGCCAACACAACGTGGTGTAAGTGTCGTCTAAACACTGTGACAGTAATGAATATTAATGAAGTTGCACAATAGAGCGCGCTGATTGGTTTGAACCAAGCTTTACTCGTGCATTAATGCAACACACTGTAAGACGTAATAAGACTCACTCTGGCACAGACGTCCAGTCTGCACGCTGGAATACACGCTATTATCTCATGACCGTGACGCAGCTTCAAAAATTCGTTTCAAACCGGAAGTACAAATTTGCTTGAAATAACGCAAAAACAACCAATTTACACTTTTTAGTGAAATATAGGTGTCCTAATAGTGTTTTTAGCAGTGTGGGACACATATACGACTGTCAACAGCTCAAAACATGTGTTTTGGTGTTTCGTGATCCTTTAAGGCGAGTCCTCCTCGCCTACTGTTTCTACGTGCCTTCCCGCGTGCTTTAATCTCCCTCCTCAGCTGCGTCAGACAACAGACAGACTTAAAGAAGGTCTCATGTATCGTTTGTGAGAAATACTACAGTAAGAGCTTTACTAATCAGTATTTGTTGTGAAGTTGCATTGATGAGTCACACGCAATTTCGTTACAAAGTTTGCGACAACCCCCCCCCCGGTCTTCAGTTCACGACAACCCCCCACCCCCTCTCTCCGCTCTTCAGTTCACGACAACCCCTTTTACATTCCACCCCCCCTTTCCGCTCTTCAGTTCGCAACAAACCCACCTCCCCTCCCCCCGTTCTTCAGTTCCGAACACCCTTCGAACACTTTTCTTTTTAATATTAGCAACTTAACAGACAGCAGAAATGTTGAGGCGTCGTGCTGCATATGAGCGTCATCTTCACTGTGTGGATATTTATAACAAAACGGAGCCGATAACAACTGCCTCCTTTCAATTTCAGTGAAAATACGAAACGCGCCCTCTCTTTTGCTGAATATCAGTTTTAATAATCGATAATTATAAAAGTATAACACAATAAGTTTATACATTGTAGGAAATAAAGGCAAGCGATCAGTCAATGTACCTGGATTAATCATTAACTTATCTTTGCGCTTAACCAAAACATGTTACCCGTGAACAAGTAACTTAATAGATTCCAATGACCAAAGTCAGGGAATATGTCGTTAGATAAAGACAACAACATGAATGAAATATCACGTTTAGCAAATATAGTGAGATTAGATCCAGCGGGAGATGCTTGATGAGCAGTCCGACAAGCAGAGCTCTCATCTGGGTAGAAATGCTGGAGCGCTTGCCCGAGAGTGTGTGTGTGATCACGTGATGTGCGTTTTCAGCGTTTTGGTGTGGACGGAGAGCTGTTCAGAAATGCTGGGTAAAACGCAAGTGTGGACGCGGATCGTTTTCATTCTACAACGCCGTTTTAAAACTAAAACGCACTAGTGTAAACGGGGCCATAGTCTATGCACGGGGCTGCTGTAAGGTGACAGTGCTAACCACTGAGCCACCGTGCCGCCCACCAGAGTGAATTCATTCATTCGTTTTCTTTTAAGCTTAGTTTCTTTATTAATCTGGGGTCGCCACAGAGGAATGAATCGCCAACTTATACAGCACATGTTTTACACAGCAGATGCCCACGCCAACACGGGGAGAACATGCAAACTCCACACAGAAATGCCAACTGACCCAGCCAAGGCTCAAACCAGTGACCTTCTTGCTGTGAGGCGATCACTGCGCCGCCCATAGAGTGAATTTTTTGATAATTAAAAAAAATTACCCAATTGTATTTTACTGAATATAATTGATTTGAATTCTTAATGCAAAGGGAACAAACCTCCAGCAACGCGAGGGAAATTCCTGTAGATGTCCAGATTCTGGGCGACCTGCTTCCACAACCGCTTAAACGTTCTGGAAAAAAATGTGGGAAAATAGGATTTTTACATTTTCAGTGTTTGAGTTTTCAACACACAGCACAGTTTTTATTGTAAATATAATTGTCACACACTCAAAAACATATTTTGCTGTCTGTTTAAACTATGTATCTAAAAAAACCTGAAACAACACAATTCCAGAAATTTCTTTGGGGCAACCGAATTGTTTAATGTTGAATCCACTAAAATCTGATAAGTTAGCTCAATCAATTTGTTTTGAGACAACCTGAATTAATTGTAATGCATTAAATCAAGTTTACCAGCATTAAATAAATAAATTAATTAATACATTTAGTGATCAAAGATACTTTAAATCATTTAAAAACAAGACTTTTTTGAGTGTTTGCACAAACTTAAAGCTGACTCTGATTTTAGATTTGCACCATGCAAAACATCCAAGCGGTTTCAACTGTCACGAACTCTGACAAACTTTAACCCGGACAGAAGATAAGAGCAATGCAATCACATGATGAAGTGCATTTGGGTTAAAATCCACATGAAGCTGCGACTGTTTTTTTTCTGTATTGTTATGCAGTTTCTCGAGAATTGGAATATTAAATGAGGAAACAGTGGGTGTGGCTTGTTTTTTTCTGCTGCGAGCTGATTTGTATGCAGTAAAGTAGGCATTTCATTTAGAAAGATCAGTAAAAGGGTTTTGGGAGAGTTAAGCTGCGGTCACACTGGGCTTCTCCTCCCATTGACATCCATTCATACGTACGCGAATGCGTCAGACTGGAAATGCAGGGTCATGCATCAAGTTTTGCAGGTTGCTGCGGTGCAAAGTCCAAGCATTTTAGAAGTCTGACCTGCGAAATCGCATCACTTGACTGCGTAAGACCAATCGAAGATCAAAACATGACCTCCCTGGACAGAAATTTAAAACATGGAGCAATCGCTCGCTTATTAAAATGTCTAATAATCTTATTTAATCCCGCCCCTTTTCGCAGCGCCGCACGACAGAATATCGCATGCTTAAACTCTAATGTGACCGCTGCTTTACTACAACCTAACAGACTCCTCCTCCTGCTCACCATTTTTGTTTGTTATCAAAACTGACAGCTGGAGGGGCGTGGTTAAGTGTTAGCCACACCCAACACCTCAGACAGACATAATCAGAAAATTTAACTGAAACTAACTTTTCTTCCCTTAATGACACGCACAGAGGAGTTGCTCACCACAAAACTAGCAATGACTCAGTGGGTAGCACTGTCACCTCACAGCAATAAAGTCACTGGTTCAAGTCCCAGCTGGGTCAGCTATAGATATATATATAAAAATTATAAATATATTATTTTAATAATAGCTTTTTATAAATAATTTACTAGTAAATATTATTATTACTATTATTTTTTTAAGATTTATTTTTGTCCGTTTTGCCTTTATTAGATAGGTCAGTATTTGAACAGGAAGCGAAGTTGGAGAGACATGTCGGACATGTTGGACATGTCTTCGGGGGGTAGTCGAACACGGGATGCCCTGACGTGCTACTGCACCATATGTCAACGCATTAACCACTAGGCTATTGCGCCGACATTATTACTATTATATAATGACTCTGTTCTAAATAATTAAAATAAAAAATACATTCTGAATGTAACTGGAAAACATGTAAAGACACAGCTAAAGTGATATGCTAAGATCAATTAAGAAATCTTTTGTATAAATATATTAATTTTAGGACATCACGGTGGCTCAGTGGTTAGCAGTCGCCTCATAGCAAGAAGGTCGCTGGTTCGAGTCTCGGCTGGGTCAGTTGGCATTTCTATGTGGAGTTTGTATGTTCTCCTCGTGTTGGCGTGGGTTGCCCCCGGGTGCTCAAGTTTCCCCCACAGTCCAAACAAATGCGCTATGGGGGAATTTAATAAACGAAGCTGGCTGTAGTGTTAGTCTAAGCCGAATGAAAATAATTGACTGAATGAAAACTAGCAATGTGAGCTACGAAATCATATGGCTAGTTTTGACTTCATGTGTGATGTAAGAGAGATACATACGGGACGCTGCCGGTGAAGTTGATGCCGGCGAGGTGCTCAGAGGACGTAACTGTGTCTCCAAACACTGGCCCATCTGCCGGGACAAACTGAATGATGTTCGGTGGCAATCCAGACTCTCTCAGGATCTTATAGACAGCATAACTGGCAGACATGGCGGTATCACTGGGTTTCCACAGCACAACGTTACCCTGAAAACACACAGATACGGTTGAAGTCAAAGTGAGTCGCCCTACTGTGATATTTTTTTTCTTTTTTAAATATTTCCCAAATGATGTTGAACAGATTCAGGAAATTTTTTGAGTATTTTCTATAATATTTTTTCTTCTATAGAAAGTCTTATTTGTTTTATTTCGGCAAGAATAAAAGCGGTTTTTAATTTTTTTATAGCCATTTTAAGGTCAATATTTTTAGTCTTGTCACGCAATATTCGTTTTGGATTGTCTACAGAACAAACCACTGTTATAAAATCACTTGCCTAATTACCCTAACCTGCCTAATTAAGCCTTTATATTGAGCTGAATACTGGTCTCTTGAAAAATATCTAGTCAAGTATTATTTACTGTCATCATGGCAAAGATAAAAGAAATCAGTTATCAGAAATGAGTTATTATAACTATTATGTTTAGAAAAATCTTCTCATTAAACAAACAGAACACTACTTCGACTGTATGTAGTTAAGTCAGCATTAAAGATTTAAAGAAACACTCAAACATGTGTTTCTTTAATAAAGTGCATGGTTTAATAAAAAGCATTTTAAATGTAAAGTAAAAAAAAAAAACAGTAATTATTAAATCAACATAATTAGTTTTTTGTGATTACTCATGACTGGGCCCACAAGGAATCGGCGCTCACAAAAATTCACAGAAAATAAAATATTTTGAGCATATCATTCATGTATATTTTAGCTCTTTTAGCAGATATATTATATGAGAGACCTACTTTGTTTATCAAACAAGTGGTTCTAAATGGATTTGCATTGTGAAGCTTAAATGAAAGTTTTTATTTCATGTTTTAAGCTTTTAGTTGATATACTCTCAAAATCATTTAAACAGAAATCTGCACAGAAATGTCAAAATTCTCTGACCTTCACAGTAGATATAAACTAAACTGATTTACAAATAAACTCAATTTACTCAATTACTAAACTCAAATACGACAGAATTGAAAGAAAATATTGTCTTTTTCGAGGTGTTTAGAGTTAATAAAAAACACACACATATATATATATATATATATATATATATATATATATATATATATATATATATATATATATATAATTTGTAATTTTTTTATTTGAAATAAAGTCCAGAAAAATGTAATGTGTATTTTGGAAACCTTTTTAAGAGTATCAATTAAATATTGGTATTAATTCATAGTTTTAGCAAGAGAATGTCAGATTTTTTTATTTAATTACATTTGTTTTTAAATAAAATATTTAATTTAATTGGAAAATATACAGTTAAAGTCAGAATTATTAGCCCCCCTGTTTATTTTGTCCCCCAATTTCTGTTCAACAGAGGGGAGATTTTTTCAACACATTTCTTAACATAATAGTTTTAATGACTCATCTCTAATAACTGATTTATTTTATCTTTGTCATGATGACAGTAAATAATATTTGACTAGATATTCTTCAAGACACTTCTATACAGATAGTGACATTTAAAGGCTTAACTAGGTTAATTAGGTTAACTAGGCAGGTTAGGGTAATTAGGAAAGTTATTGTATAACGATGGTTTGTTCTGTAGATTATAGAAAATAAAATGAGCTTAAAGGGGCTAAAAGTATTGACCTTAAAATCACTCCTTTTATTCTAGCTGAAATGAAACAAATAAGACTTTCTCCAGAAGATAAAATGTTATCAGACATACTGTGAAAATGTCCTTGCTCTGTTAAACATCATATGGGAAATATTTAAAAAATAAAATATAAAAAAGGGAGGCTAATATTTCTGACTTCAACTGTATATAATAAAAACATTGTTGTTGTGCATAACAAAATTACAAAAATATATAATTTAAAAAAAAAAAAAAAAAAAAACAGATAAAAATGAAATCTGAAACTTAAATTGCATTCATCTGCACATTGTGTTAAGCTCTTTATGCAATACATTTAATATCCAACCATAAGAGCAGGAGTGCCGGCCAGGTTTCCACCAATCGCTGTGAAGTTAAATGGAGCAACAGCAGCAACGAATCCCTGAAAACAAGTAAAGTCGAGTTAATTTTACATAATACAATGTTATAAAATAATTTACGATTGATGAAACTGTATGAGGAGACGAGAAAAAAAATTGTTGAACATTTAGGCGGACATGACCCTAAGCATTGAATGTTTTTACCAGGTTTATATCTTCTAAATCGCACATTTTGTCATAGTTTTGGAGCACAATGGACTATAAAAGTGATTCCTGTGACGGACATTTGTATTGATTTTGTAAAATGTAGACAGAAACTAAGTATGTACTAAGTATGAAACTATGTACTGGCTAAGGCCAAAGCCTGACACATTGTAGCACTCCTAGTCAGGAGATAGAAATCCACAACAAGATCTTTTCTTTCCCACCAGAAATGTATCTTTCCTGGAGATCATTTACAGGACAGGACAATGAGGTAACAATACTATTACTGACATCTATAAAACTGTACTTTAACTGTAGGGGTGAACTGAATCAGGCCCAGCCATGGTTGGAAGAGGTGTGCCAGAGCACGGTTCAGTTGGGCTTTGGCGCAATAGGCTTGTAGTGTGAGTGCAAAGCGTGCCTGAACCTAAAACTAAAGACTTGACGTTTCTTTGAAGGGACTGTTTCATTTGGATTTATTAATCCTCCATACTGTCCAGTGAACACAAACTGTCATAGTTTATTAAAGACTCAAAACCCTCGCTGCACCTTCAGCAAACCTCCTAATACCTGCAGAACGAGGACTTTATGATCATTTATGAGCGTCAAAAGTGCTGGATCTGTTCCGACTGTGTCTCACTACATCCTAAAACGACTAAAAATAATACATAACGACTTAACTAAAGCAATGTCGACTGTTTTAGTTCACATTTATATTTAGTCATTTAGCTGACGCTTTTATCCAAAGCGACTTACAAATGAAGACAAGGAAGCAATTTACACAACTATAAGAGCAACAATGAATAAGTGCTGTAGGCAAGTTTCTGGTGTGTAAAGTCTAAGAAGCAAAACATTAGTAATTTTTTTAATTAATTTATTTTTTGTAGTACAGTTAGCGGTGGAGCCAGAGAGGCAATTGCAGATTAGGAAGGAAAGTGGAGACTAAATAGTTGAGTTTTTAGTCGTTTCTTGAAGACAGCGAGTGACTCTGCCGTTCTGATGCAGTTAGGGAGTTCATTCCACCAACTGGGCAAATTGAGCGCGAGAGTTCGGGAAAGTGATTTCTTCCCTCTTTGGGATGGAACCACGAGGCGACGTTCGTTCACAGAACGCAAGTTTCTGGAGGGCACATAAATCTGCAGAAGTGAGAGCAGATAAGAAGGAGCAAGGCCAGAAGTCGCTTAGTAAGCAAACATCAGAGCTTTGAATTTGATACGAGCAGCAACTGGCAGCCAGTGCAAATGGATGAGCAGCGGAGTGACATGTGCTCTTTTAGGTTCATTAAAGACCACTCGTGCTGCTGCATTCTGAAGCAGCTGAAGAGGTTTGATAGAGTCAGCTGGGAGCCCGGCTAGTAGAGAGTTGCAATAGTCCAGTCTGGAGAGAACAAGAGCTTGAACAAGGAGTTGAGCTGCATGTTCAGATAGGAAGGGTCGGACCTTTCTGATGTTATAGAGTGCGAATCTGCAAGATCGAGCAGTTCTAGAAATGTGGTCAGAGAAGTTTAGTTGGTCATCAATCGTTACTCCAAGGCTTTTCACCATTTTGGATGCAGTAATGGTTGCCCCGTCCATCTGGATTAAAAAGTTATGATGTAGTTAGTGTGCTTCTCTACCTGTTAAACTGAACTGCGCATTATCGATAACGCAAGCGTGCTCCGGCTTGGAAGGTAATGCATTGTGAGTGCAGGCCATAGGGGGAGAGGGGAGTGGGGACAATCGTGCTTTGGCACGGTTCAAGTCAACTGTACCTAGAGTGAGTACACCTTAAAAGAATTGTAAAACACTTGTGAGCTGTGTTCTAGACATGTAAACGCACCTCTAGGCCGCGGTACAGCATGGTGTTTGTGCTGCCGTCACTGTCCAGCGGCTGCTGGTCTTCAAGCTCAATTGCATGTTTGGCATTAAACCTGAAGAAGTCAATGAGTTCTGGAGCTGCGTCGATTTCCGCCTGAACCACAGTCTTACCCTGTAACAGAGAGCAAATACAGCAGAAATTAGTTTATGTACCGACAAATAACAGGCATTTGTGGAGTAGCTATTGTAGCTATAGAGGTTTGTTCCTGCCACTGAATAAAACTAACAAAAAAGGTTATTATGACTTTTTATCTCAACATTGCTTGACACAAACTTTTTTTTAGAAAAGAGAGAGAATTTAGATGTTATTGTCATTTCAGCTTCTATGGCTATGTCATGGCAATAAAACAGATCAGGTTTACCACATTTTATAAATGCCACTTTTCTATAATTATAAAAATATTCTAACAATTAAAAGTCATCAACAGCAATAAATAACTGTTACGAGTAGTGTAGTGTAGGCTTGTGTATGGTGTTTCTTTCTCTCTCCCTCTCTCTCTCGCTCTTCTCCCGCTCTCTCTCTTTCTGAGTATTCGCAGGTGCAGCGGATTACGTTGGGTCGGATCGTGATTGGCGCTTGGATTGGCGGCGGTTGTATATAAACCTGCAGAGAGCATGGATTTGATGGCTCCCCGCTCTCTCTCGATTCCCCGGTTATGCTCAGTGGAGACTAGTGGTCGAATGAGTGTTTGCTTCTATCTCTTTGTGGCGTTTTGTGAGATGCCGATGTGACGTTAATTGTAACCGGAGAAACCCGGTTTTCTGTCTCCCTGTCTGTCTTGGAGTATGTAGGGAGGTTTGGTGCCTTCCATTTCTTATTTTCGTTTTCTCCTGTGTTTGCTAGTAGGGAGGTAATTTTTCTGTATTTTATTTTATTGTCTGTTTTCCAGGGAAGTTTGATCTAATTTAGTTAGCTTGGTTTATTTTTGCTCCTTATTTCTGTAAATAAATCATATTTTCTTGTTAATTCTCAGTGGTTGTGTTTTTGGTTTATTTTGGGGAGAGAGAGCACCGGGGCACCAGGGATTATGTTTTTAATTGCTGTTATTTTGTTACGTTTTGGTTAAACCTCTTTTTGATCAAGGATTTTCAATTTAATTCATAACAATAACACACAAGGTACAATACATAAATAATAATAATGATAATATAAGATAAAAATCGAAAAACAGTTCAAGGGTTACTTTTGATAGAAATTGATAAAAAACATAAAAAAATGTTTCATTTAAAGTCTCCAAATAAAAATTATATTCTGATAACATTAAAAATAGCGCATTCCACAAGTATACGTTTAACAATTTGCTAAATGTTAACAGTATGTTCATGTGTGAGTCTACTTTTTTTCAGAACTTCTGAGATGTAAACCCAAAATTGTAAATTAAGTCCAAATTGGGAGATATAAACTCACAATTCTGATAAATAAAGTCAGAATTCTGAGAAAAAAAAAACTTGCAAGCCACGTCAGAATCCACTTAAGCTAATATGAGGACAGAAAAATCCACTTTGCGTCGTGGCGCATGGTCTAACAGGGTTGAGAATAATCTCTTAATGAGTTATAGGTGTGTTTTGAGAATAAACCAATCAGAGTCTCATCTCCCATTCCCTTTAAGAGCCAGTTACGTCGCGCCAAAGCACATTTGACATTTACACGACGGACTTTGTAAGTGGAAAAACTGAACGCTTCACAAGAGAGAAAACAGCTAAACAGAGCATCTGCAGCGTGAGAATGAGAGATGAGCCTCCTCATTTTTTACTTTCACTCTCGTGGATAGGTAAACGTGTTGTACGCACAGACATCAATTAGCCTATACATAATTAATTTTGTTTGTTAAGCGCTAAGGTTTATTAAAAAATTTCCAGCAAACGAATAAATGAACAATAATAACAAAGTGTGCTCAAAAAAGTTTTTTGCTGTGCCCCATATGGTCTAAAACCTGACAGGTGGGCAAAACTAAGCTTGTTTTTAGTAAAACAAATATAAATATGGATATAATAAATAATACTGCAAATAATAATAACATTATACAAAAGCAAATTGTCATGAATTAACTGAAAAAGCCCCCCGAGAAGAAGAAGGCATGAAGGCAGTAGTTTTTTTATTTATATAGGCTAAAAAATAATATGTTTTGTAATATTTTAACCCTTTATATTTATATTCTATATATATCCTTATTATATCCTATATATGTAATATTTGAATTCTTTTTCATATGTAAAGATATTTGCGTATTGCTGTACATCCTGTCTGTATTAAGCAATGTGCAAGCGCACAACTAACGCGCTCTGTGCTTGGCCTTAGACAGGCTTTGTTCTGGTCTATAGAACAGATTTTTATAGTTTCTCAAAATAGCAACGCGCCAGCAACACACCTCAACACGCCTCCCTTTTCAGATCAGAACGCCTATAGGCGCACATATGAGCGCAAATGCATTTGCAATTTAAACAGCGTGCTGCAACACGTCAAAACGACTCTTGCGCCAAGCTGAAACTATCAAACAACAATTGCGTCGCGCCTTACGCCACATTGCACCGGGTATATGATAGGGCCCATTATCTCTTAAATATACAACTAAGCATATTTTCACGCAATTTCAAGAAAGTTTGTTTGGTCGTATCCGATATCAATATTGTGTTTACTGAGTTTGGTCTTTTAAAAACACAGTTTAATGCATTGTGCCACATTAGCATTATTCTTAGCATTATGATATTTTACTACAGGAAGAAAATGTTACGACTTCCAAATACTTCAATATAGTCTATATTAGTAAATGCCAGGCTATTTGAAATGCAGGCATAACACTGTATGACAACGTTGCAGATGACTGTTCTAGAGCCTACAGCTAGTCAATCTGTCAGATTCTGGAGCGCATTACAACTCTAAATCAAATAATAAATAAGAAATCAATTATTCTAAATAAAATAAACACATTTCGAAATAAAATTATAACTAAATATCACCCAAAGATGGAGCCCAGACAAGTGAATAGCATGTCAAATTATCTGATAATTGTAAAATATAAACCCAAAAAGCAACTAAACTATAACACATAAATACAATATATATGCCAAGTTTAGCATCTGGAATCAGCTGAGGTGATGTGACTTAAAAAGTACTAATAAATAGTTGTAATATATTAGGCAGGTAATAAGCCAGTTGTTACAAATGAGATTTTTTTTTAACTTAAAGTGTTACCGAAATATTATACGTATTATAGTGCATATGAAATGTATGTAGTATCTTTTATAGACATAAAATAAGTCATGTATGCATATATATATATATACATACACACACACACAACAGTTCTGTCTGGATCTCGAATCTTATTGGCCATGATATTTTTTAGTAATATCAGCATCTGTACAGCCTCTTTGCCCTTTGTGTATTACTCCACCCACATACAACCAATAACAAGCAGGCGCTACTGCTTGACAAATATGATGTGAGCTGCAGATACAAGTGGCCACGCTCTTAATTATGCACAATATTAAGGTTTTAAATAAATTAAATAGATGAGTTATTAAAAAAAATCACCGTCTCACAGTTGTCATGAAGATTAATATTAGCTATATACACCAAAACAATTTTTTGTACCAGGTTGTAAACATGTTTTTTTTCTGCTGTAAAGTTGTGCAATTTAACATGGCAGTCTATGCGGATTTGATAGTTTCTAAAGCCAGCCCCCCAGTGGCCAGTCGATGAACTGCAGTTTCAATTACTTCTGTATTGAGGTTGTTTTAGAGTAGCTTCCCTGAGCACTGACAGCAAAGACATAAATGGCTTTAAAGGTGTAAATGTTGCTGAAGACGCACCTGTCCGATCATTGTCTTGGCCAGTACTTCTGCTCTCTTGGGCCCACTGATGATGTCGGCAGCTTTGAAGAAGATCTGGGCTCGATCTGAGACCGGTTTAAGATCCCATTCCCTCCGAGCAGCGACTGAAGCCTCAATGGCTTTATTTAGAAGATCCTGAAGACACCAGAAGGCCAAATGATGAACACAACTAACCTCATTCCATGCTACAGTTGATGTCAGGATTATTCGCCCTCCTGAATTATTAGTGCCCCTGTATATTTTCGTATAATTTCTGTTTTTATTTCTAACTAATTTCGGATTTGGCCATGATGACAGAACATTTATTTTGCTAGATATTTTTAAGATACTAGTATTCAGCTTAAAGTGACATTTAAAGGCTTAACTAGGTTAATTGGGTTAACTAGGCCGGTTAGGGTAATTAGGCAAGTCATTGTATGACAGTGGTTTGTTCTGTAGACAATCCGAAACAAATATAGCTTTAAAAGCATAATAATATTGACCTTGAAAATGCTTTTTTTTAAATTAAAACTGTTTTCCTTCTAGCCGAAATAAAAAAAAAAAAACTTTCTCCAGAAGAAAAAAATATTATAGGAAATACTGTGAAAAATTCCTGAATCTGTTAAACATCATTTGGGAAATATTAGAAAGAAAGAAATTCAGGGGTTCAGGGGTGAACAATTTTGACTATATATTAAAATCTTCGAAATACATTGAATGAGTTAAACTAAAATGACAAATAACACACTTGCAGTTTTTCTAAAATCACACTGTACCTTGTCAGCATAGCAGAACTTTGCAACTTGGTGAGAATGGTTGAAGGGCTGTGGAAAAAAGCGTCATATTTTAATATCAAAATAACATGAGAATATGAAGCAATTTTAAGAAATGTCATGTAAATGGAGTTAGATAGAACTCGTTCACTACAGCCAATTTAGCTTACCAATTCCCCTATAGTGCATGTGTTTGGACTGTGGGGGAAACCGGAGCACCCGGAGGAAACCCACGCCAACACGGGGAGAACATGCAAACTCCACACAGAAATGCCAACTGACCCAGCCAGGACTCCAATCAGCGAATGTACCAGTGAGGGGACAGTGCTAATCACTGAGACACTGTGCCGCCCCATGTATTGATTTAATTTGAAATTATTTTATTATGTAATTATTAATTTAAAATTATTATTGTATATGATGTTAATAATACATTCATTCTTTTTTTTGTTGGCTTGGTCCATTTATTAAGCTGGCGTCACCACAGCGGAATGAACCGCCAACTTATCCAGCAAGTTTTTACGCAGCGGATGCCCTTCCAGCTGCAACCCATCTCTGGGAAACATCCACACACACACTCATACACTACGGACAATTTAGCCTACCCAATTCACCTGTACCGCATGTCTTTGGACTTGTGGGGGAACCAGCAGCACCCGGAGGAAACCCACGCGAATGCAGGGAGAACATGCAAACTCCACACAGAAACGCCAACTTGTTAATAATAAATAGATTTAAAACATACCAAGGTAACTGCAATAAATAGCTAAGCTAAAACCTTGAAATTATAATATTTTTTTCACCTAAAATTAAATAAATTTTAATTAATAAATATATTTCAATTATTTTTTTTTAATTAATTTGCATTGATATTTATTTATTTAGCAGATGCTTTTATTAAAAGTCACTTGCCAGATACAAATGTCACTAATAAATATGAATAATTACGATAAAAGAAAGAAAAAAAGAGAGTCTTTGTAAACAAGCAGTCAGAATGGCTGTGTATTTTGTGGCTGTATAATACTAAAAAAATGTGTCATGGCCTGAAGAGCAATCGTTCACTCCGGAGATGATTACCACTGTCGCCTCACAGCAAGAATGTCGCTGTTTGGAGCCCCGGCTGGGTCAGTTAGCATTTCTGTGTGGAGTCTGCATGTTCTCCCACTGTTGGTGTGGGTTTCCTCCGGGTGCTTTGGTTTCCCGGTTTGTGTGTGAATGAGTGTGTATGGGTGTTTCCCCGTGCTGGGTTGCAGCTCTAAGAGCATCCGCTGTGCGAAACATATGCTGGATAAGTTGGCGGTTCATTCTGCTGTGGCGACGCCAGATTAATAAATGGACTAAGCCGAAGAAAAATGAATGAATGAATGTTTCACAGAGTGTTGCTGAACTCACAGACAGCTGGAATCGGATGTCTTTGGTCCACACTTCTTCATTCCCGATCACACATGGAATTTCTTCTGTTTTTCCCTTCAGGTTTCGTAACGCCTGAATAAAACACACACACAGAGGCCGTCTGTCAGATAAACATGAGGTATTCTGAGGTTGTGTGCGTGTGAGTGCGTGAGAGAGAAAGAGTGTGTGTGTATGTGTGTGAGAGAGTGTATGCCTGTCTGAGAGAAAGCTTGTGTGCATGTGTGAGAGAATGTGTGTGTGTGTGTGTGTGTGTGTGTGTGTGTGTGTGTGTGTGTGTGTGTGTGTGTGTGTGTGTGTGTGTGTGTGTGTGTGTGTGTGAGAGAGAGTGTGTGGGTGTGTGTGAGTGAAAGAACGTGTGTGTGTGAGAGAGTGTATGAATGTCTGAAAGAAAGCGTGTGTGCATCTGTGAGAGAATGTTTGCATTTGTGTGAGTGAGAGAGAGTGTGCGTGTGTGCTTGAGAGTGTCTATGTGTGAGAGAAAGAATGTGTGTGTGAGACAGTGAGTATGTTAGTGTGTATGTGTGATTTAGAGTGAGTTAGTGTGTGGGTGTGCATATGTGTTTACACATAGGGGAGAAAGAGTGTGTGTGCAAATGCGTAGAAAGAGAGTGTGTGTGTATGTGTTTGTTTGTTTGTGAGACAGTTTTTATGTGTGTGAGAGACAGTGTGTGTCTGTGTGTGTCTATATGTGTGTGTGAGAGTGTGTGTTTGAAAGATTTAGTGAGTTAGTGTGTTTCCATATGGTTGTGCGTGTATGTGTGTGTGTGTGCATGCATGTGTATTTATGCGTGTGCGTGCTCGCGAGTTTGTGTATGTATAAATGTGTGTGCGTATGTGTGCATATGGTTGTGTGTGTGCTTGTGAGTGTTTGTATGCATGTGTGTGTATGTGTACATGTATGTGTATAAGTGTGTGTGTGTGTATATACGTGTATGAGTATGTGTGTGCGAACATGAGTGTTTGTATATGTATGTGTGTGAGTGTGTATGTGTATGCGTGTGTGTGTGTACACATGTATGTATATGAGTATGTGTGTGCGAACATGAGTGTTTGTATATGTATGTGTGCGAGTGTGTATGTGTAGGCGTGTGTGTGTGTACACATGTATGTATATGAGTATGTGTGTGCGAACATGAGTGTTTGCATATGTATGTGTGCGAGTGTGTGTGCGCATGTGTGTACACATGTATGTATACGAGTATTAGTATGTGTGTGCGAACATGAGTGTTTGTATGTGTGCGAGTGTGTGTACACGTATGTATGTGAGTATATGTGTGTGCGAACATGAGTGTTTGTATATGTATGTGTGCGAGTGTGTGTGCGCATGTGTGTGTACACATGAATGTATATGAGTATGAGTATGTGTGTGCGAACATGAGTGTTTGCATATGTATTTGTGTGAGTGTGTGTGTGTGTGTGTGTACACATGAATGTATATGAGTATGAGTATGTGTGTGCGAACATGAGTGTTTGCATATGTATTTGTGTGAGTGTGTGTGTGTGTGTGTGTACACATGAATGTATATGAGTATGAGTATGTGTGTGCGAACATGAGTGTTTGCATATGTATTTGTGTGAGTGTGTGTGTGTGTGTGTGTACACATGTATGTATATGAGTATGTGTGTGCGAACATGAGTGTTTGTATATGTATGTGTGTGTGTGTGTGTGTGTGTATTTGACCTCCTCCAGTTCTGCTCTCTCTTTACTGCCCTCTTTAAACCCCAGAACGGGCTCATTCTTCACCTCCACCGCTGCACACGAGAAAGTTTTGAACCTGCAGAGAAAACAAACTCATCTTAGTGAGTAACAGGGGTTTTACTTCAGTCTGGTTTTAGTCTTTAATCAATCAGTGACAGAATTGTTGCACGAATAACCTGCTATAAATCCCAATGAGAGACCAAAGCAGGACCTTTTGGACTTTATTCAATTCAAATTCATTTGTATAGCCCTTTTTACTATAATTATTGTTTCAAGAAGCTTTACAAAAGTTAAACATTATTACAATCAAATTAACTTAAAGTCAATGAAATAGAAGTTATTATATACAGACATCGTTAACCTGCAATTTTTTAGCATATAGGTCATGTCTATGTGTACATGTTTAATAAAGTGTATTTAAATTATTCAGTACTTAGACCACAGCTTCAACTGTATTATAAAGCCCCATTTTATAGTATTTAATTAATTTATTAATCAATTTCATATTTACTTGTATTTAAATAATTAAGTTTATGTATGTATGTTTTCATGTATACATAGTCTGCCATGCATATGCAGATTTTGTATTGCATTTATTTTGATGCACTAAAAATAACCAACTATAAAGTATTATTAAAACAAATCAAATAAAAATAAAACGCACGTTATATAATTATTTACTTGGATTTTAAATAATTACGTTTATTTATGTATGCATTTATGTATGCGTGTCCTGTCATGCGAATTCAAATTGTGTATGCTTAATGCAGTTAATTTGATTTACTAAAAATAACCAACTACAAAGTACAAAAACAGCACAAAATAATTTAAAAAAAATGTATATTATATATTAGATTATCTAAGAGTGTGCTATAATTAGCAAGTGTATGCATATAAATGTAATAAAATATTATGTACAGGTATTTGGAATAAATGCAGTACAATATAATAAATGCATTACAATAATTAATGCATCGGAATACACACACACACCACCAGTGCTGATATACAGCCATATCGCACTGCTACGAGTGTGATATTCCAGAGTTGTGTAACAGCAGTATTATTTGTCAAACAGTAGTGCCTGCTTGTTATTGGTTGTATGTGGGCGGAGACGGAGTAATACACAAAGGGTAAAGAGACTGTACAGGTGCTGATATTACTTAAAAATATCACGGCTATCAACCAATAAGATTCGAGATCCAGACAGAACTGTTGTGTGTATGTGTGTGTGTGTGTGTGTGTGTGTGTGTGTGTGTGTGTATATATATATATATATATATATATATATGCATACATGACTTATTTTATGTCTATAAAAGATACTACATAAATTTCATATGCACTATATTACGTATAATATTTCGGTAACACTTTAGGTTAAAAAAAAAATCTCATTTGTAACTACTGGCTTATTACCTATTACCTAAATGTGCTATATTACTATATTACCTAAATATAACTATTTATTAGTACTTTTTAAGTACACTTTCTGCATGATGTTATTCTAAATCCCATAATCTTATTCAATACACAAACCTAACTACTACTAAACTATTAATAAGCAGCAATTTAGTAGTTTATTGAGTTAATAGTCTCACTTAATGATGTGTTAGCAGCAAGAATTCCTTAAAATAAAGTGTGACCAATATTTTATTTATATTTTGCATATAAAAGCTTGAAATCAACAGGGTGCATGTGAAAAACTTGTATGTCCACTAAAGAGAAAGTACAGTGTTTAGTTATGAGTATTATGCGCCTGAATAGATTGAATGACAGTAATAATAATACGAAACACTTGTGCAAACAGATCTCACCTACATAACAGCAGGGAGACAAGTTTCTTGAAGCATTACATAACACACAGTCTGCCTGAATACTTGTACAGTATATGAAAACTTCCAGTATTTACTCACAGCAGATAATAATGTATGATTATGAGCACATTACTGAAGGCAGACGATGACTGAAGTCAAAAGTGCTCCAGTTAGACCAAAAGTCATGCGTGAGTCCATGTGCAAATACATACATACCCTTTCCACGACTGACTGACGGCAGACCTCACTCGCAGCATCGTTGATTTGGCCGTACAGGGAAGCACAGAGATATTATTTATATATATACAATTCAGAAATATCCTCCAGTTGAGGAACCACGGCGCTGAGGTGGAATTTTGATACTGTATTTTCTCCAAGATCACAGGAGACGTCACATGGACGGAGACTTACCACTTCCAAAGTGGGGGGATTTGTGACAGATGAGATGTTGTTTTAGACAATACGGCTTTTGTATGCCGTGTTTATCTTCAAATAGCTGATTATAATACTTAATTATAGATTTAATATTATGTTTTGTGCATAAATGCGTTTATAATTTAAAATAAGACACATTTGACATATGCCTCGCCCCTGATTTTCAGAAATGGAGCAGACTTGAGGGCGAGTTTCCCACTGACCAATCAGCTTTCGAGACGTTCCGCCTGTAGCAAATCATAGGAGTCGCTTTATGTCTAGTTTCTATTTTCATAAAAGACGAAAATATTCGTTTGCCTATTCGCTATTTTGATTTCCTGATGTAAAATTAAGCGTTTAAGTAGCACAGCACAGAATGTGCGAAGTCTTAATACTTTAACATTCTTTATATATACATATATTAAATATAAACTATTCTTAACCACGCCCCCATATACGTCTTCAAAACGCGTCAAATTTGGCGCGAGGTTTGCTGTTGATGAAAGCTAAAGCACATGTGTTGACTTTAATTAACGTCATATGGAAATAAATATATGCTGATAATGCTACAGTTCATTGATAGATGTTATGTAGCCTAAAAGCACAGCTTACCTCAAATATCTCAGTGGAAAAGCTGTATGTTTGTACTCGGATGATAAAGAGCTTTGTTTACAAGTGTGCTAGCTTGTGTCATGGTTCCCAGCTTTTCAATCAAACTCAGTCTGGACATTATGAATATCAGAAGAATATACTTTATTGGAATATTTTTCAAAAATAGCAAAGATGTTCATAAGCAGACCCATCTCTAGTCTCACCCCAGGACAATCTGATATTCCACATATTTGCTCCACCCTTTGTCCTTGTTTTCACAGCTGGTTGCTGGTTCATTAGGCCTCTCCCAGATCCTACTACTTTACGACCCCAATTTAAAGCCCCCTTGTCCTTTTGGCCCTTATAATGTACAGATCAATGGTACAGATCAAATGTATTCATGACTGTTTTTGCACACACAGTTCAAATTTTGCACTCATAACAAGATCTATGATTCAAACATCTACACTGGACTCTTCTCACCCATACAGTATGTGTCTTTTTAAACATACATGACAATTTCAACATATGTTGTATAAAGTTTATGCTTTTCTGGCTGTGTTTACACAGATGGTTCTGCCTTGTATCAGTCTCTTATGGTCTTTTATGAGCCCTTTGCCTTAACACCTGTTTTCAAAGACATATAATGGCAGATTCACAGGGCCCTCCACTCACCCTGTTTAAGACCTGTTTAAAACAATTTAAGACCTACAATACAATATTTCTGTGAATTTATAACTTTTTAAGGCCCAAAATTGATTTTTTTTATTTAAGACGTTTTAAAACTTTTTAAGACCCTAAGGAGACCCTAAATTAAGTTAACTTATTTGATTTCTCTTGGGACAACATGAAGCAACCCAGTTTAGATGTAATGAACGCAGCATTTTTTACAGTATGCAATATTTTGCATCTCTAGATGCAACTCTTGAACTCTTGAAAGATCTAAAGTGTCAATAGAATCTTAATAGATGCTTGCTCAGCGGTTTAACTGTCAGATTATGATTTGAATCCAACGTGGAAGAAAGTAGTTCCTCATTTATATAAACAATTAAGACGTCAAACTGTTGTATAAACTCGTGCCAACGCACGCCTCCCACTCGTGCCGATATACAGCCATATCGCACTGCTACAATATATATAACTGCTATATATATTTAATTTTTTATTTAATTTAATTTTATTTTACCTTATAAGGAGCTGCCCCCCCCTAAATTGAAAATTCTAAAATCAAAAAATAAATAAATTAATTAATAAATAAAAATTGAAGATGAAGGAAATCAAATATATAGTTCAGTGATAAAGATCTTCCTGTGTTCCTGCTTCCACCCGGTCATCTTGAGAACATAATATAAATGATTCCTTGTTTATCAAAATGAAAACACTCTGAAAATCACAAACACTCCTTTTTTTCATGAAAATGAATGATTATGAAAAAACAAAAAGACGCCAACAAATCAACTAAATCAATTGTTTATTTATTTTTTTAACCCCAGCACCAATTACATTCATTATTTTGAAACATACAGTATAGCTCACACACCGGAAAACTCCTCTGCAGCATAAACAAATGACAATGTATGTATACTGATCATTTCAGACATAATAAAAAATAAAAAGAGCCATGAGACAGAAGCAGACCACAGATGTTGATTAAGCCAGTAATATACTGAAGATCTGTCATGTAAAACTGGCTAAATGCTGGTATGACGACTGAAAACTGCTGATTTATGCTTTATTGGAAATATTGAATTGAAAAGTGATTGTGCAACATCTTTGTATTCTCGGCTTCAGTACAGATGAGCAGTAGAAACACTATTGACTGAGGATATGTGGTAACAAATAATGACAACATGTGCAATAACATCTAAGACAAACTAAATAACGTGTTCAAGCAATGACCCTTTGTAATGTCCATTAATTAAAGCAAACCTCGATAAGCTAAAGCAAAACACTCACCATTCTTAAAGGGGTAGTTCACTCAAAAACTAAAATATGCTGTTTTTTACTTACTGAAATGTAGCTGATGTTTTTTCATCAGTAGATTATTAATGTTGTTTAGCTGAAACTGCGGTTCTTGGTGATTCATAAGTCAAACTTTGAGAGTTAAAAGAAAACATAGAGGCAACATAAAATTAAAACCAGTAGCTCTTGGTGTTATACTAACATATGGATGGTCAGTAGGTGAGTAAACTTGAATCTTTGGGTGAACTACCCCTCAAAGACATAGTTTGGCTTCAAATATACTCTATGAACACATACAGTAATACACAAGCTCAGTTGTGTGCATGGTTGTGTTCATAAATACATTATAGTTTGGCCTTATAATACAGTAGTTCACGGTTAATGACCTCCACAATACTTTTGGTGGCGATTTGTGCTTTTTTTAAAATGGTAAAAACACAAAGAAACATGATGAAAGCATCACCTACTCATCCAGTTTCCAAATGTTTAAACTCAAACGCAACTATATTCACCAACTCATTCTTACAGAAACGATTCCCAGTTTTTAAATGTGGACCAACATCCCAGCCAACAATTTTAGGTTTTAAATAAGTTCCCTTAACGTTCCTATTAAGTTAAATAATGTTATATTTTGAATGTCCAGGCTGGGAGATGACCAGCTAAAACCAGCTTGACCAGCCTAGCCAAGCTGGGAGTCCAGCCAAAACCAGCTATGTCCAGCTTAAACCAGGCTGGTCAAGCTGGTTTTAGCTGGATTTGGCTGGTCATTTTTCAGCCTAACCAGCTAAGACCAGGCTGGAAATAGCTGGAAACCAGCCTGGAAATGGCCAAAACCCCTCTAAAACCAGGCTGGTCAACCAGCTAAAAACAGCCAACCAGCTGGCTGGTTTAAGCTGGATTTTTCAGCAGGGAAACCAAAAAAAAACAGAGCAACAGTGTTTCAGGTTAAAAGGCGAGGTCTTCAGTGCATGTGTCCTTTTCAAGGGAAAAGCATCCTGATTAGCCCCGGATACTCTGAACTATATAAAAACAGATGGATTTCATACATTTAGAAAAGACTAAAGTCAGATATTTCCCATCTTTGATGGTTACGAAAACAAATAAATTGCAAAATTTACAGATGATTTGATCAAACATATGAACAAGCAAATACGATGCCCACTGACTTACTTTCATATACTTTAAAACCCCCATTCGTTTGAGCTTCATAATTACATCTATGAGGCTACAATGATATACTTTCAATAACACCCAGCAAACTTCCCAACATTTCTAACATGAGTAAAACGATACGAACCCAATTTGTGACCCAGGAACGTACAAAAAATGCAAAACATAAAAATACGAAGCTTATTCGAACAACTTGACATCAAAAACATTATAACCACATCCATGAAAACTGACCCTGAATCTGCTGGAACAGCGTCCCTCATGAGGGCTTTAATGCCATATACCATCCTCTTTGCTTTAGTAACATACACTGATGTCATTACAGATACTGTACAATCAAAACCTCCACCAGCACACTCTTCTATTTAGAAATGAGAAATTCCCGAAATTATAGAGAAACTGATTTTTTCCATGATTATAGAGTGTAAACTTAGAAAAAAGGGTGTGACTATGCAATAAGGCCATTCAAAATAAACCTGCACTATTTATATAGGCACATAGCTCTTTAGTATTTGAGATATTGATGTGTGTGACTCTTAATAAGCTTCGATCTTTGTCGGTAGCTGCTCAAAATGACCAGACACTGTTCCACAGATTCTGCCTTTAAGTGCGTAAACATTGACTTTAAAACACACACACACACACACACACACACACACACACAGACACACACACACACACACACACACACACACACAGTTGAAGGCAAAATTATTAGCTGAAAATAGTAATTAGTTATTTAAATATTTCCAGATTGCTGTTTATTAAAATTTAATAGTTTTAATATCTCATTCCTAATAACTAATTTCTGTTGTCTTTGCCATGATGACAGTACATAATATTTTACTAGTTATTTTGCAAGATACTAGTATTAAAGTGCAATTTAAAGGCTTAACTAGGTTAACTAGCAACCCAGCCTCATTCTGATTATGTACCCCTGTATACATTTCTGGAGAGCGCCAAATACATCTTAAGAGTGCTGCTTTTTTGCAGTTTTTGTTTTCGCGAATCCACCAGAGGCTGCTTTGAATGCTTATTTAGATCTCAAATTTCTTACCCTTCTCCTTCCCTAAAACCCAACTAATAGTAATTTAAAAACAACCGATTCACTTGCCCACCCCCTTCCCTAAACCCAACCAATAGTGTTTTAAAAACAACTGATTCACTTGCCCACCCCCTTCCCTAAACCCAACCAATAGTGTTTTAAAAACCGATTCACTTGCCCACCCCCTTCCCTAAACCCAACCAATAGTGTTTTAAAAACAACTGATTCACTTGCCCACCCCCTTCCCTAAACCCAACCAATAGTGTTTTAAAAACCG